AAAATTGTTTGAATTGCGATATCAGCTTAGTATTTTGGTCTTTCTTAGTATCGCGTTTTGAACTAACACCGGCTCTCGTCATATGTACAGTCGATTAACCAGTGAACCGAATATCCTATCTTTCGGTGACGGCTTCTTCAACAGTTACCCAAAGATCAATCAAATGTAAGTAAAATCAAACTCGTGCTTAGGTCATCTTTTATCGTCATTTTAGTGTTGAGCGAATGTGCGGCAACAAGCATGTATAAGTCTTTAACTAATCCCGTAGCTTTCATCACCCTCCTGCAGAGTTGTGACCAATTTTGATGGTAATTTCGTCTTCAACGCTAATGCCGTCCCTGCGGGTAGCTCATTAAATGTCCTGTAAGTGGTTATACGAGCTCTACGGCACAAGTTGATGTGCTCGGCATTTTCATGTTTACTCATCGACGTCGAATAGCACCAAACTGACATGTTGAACCATCCTTTCCTTTACAGATCTATTCGTAACTCAGGGTTGACTGAGATCGATGTTACGGGACTGCCAACAGCTACAGTATTGTAAGTCGAGTAGAGCTCGTTTTATAGTACTACTTGCGCATACTCCAGAACGTTGCGTGATGGTATTATATACGTGTTATATACGTGGGTTGCTGAACTCATTCTTCGACTTTACTTCCACACAACAGTGACTTCTCTGAAAATGTGCTGAAAAATTTCGCCCCGATATATGACGGCACCAACGCAATTCAGGAACTGTATGTCTTAGCTTTGTTGATTTTAATACCGTTCAATCTTGAAATTTGACGCTTTATGACACAAGGCAAGCTGTTGACAGACCGGACCCGGTGTTAGTTAGTTTTACTGAATCGTTTTATGCTTTTACTGTTCAATCATTTTAAGAGATTGTCTATCTAAAACTCAGCATCCATTTCCATATTGTATAGTGCCTTGGAAGGTAATGTTGTCACAAGAACAGATTTTGCAGCTGGTAATGCGGGTGAGGCTGTTATCGACACCGTCTTGGCTTTCCCAGCAGATTTGGCTGGTACCGACGCTACACCAGCAAGACTGTAAGTTGTGCACCGCTCTTTTCGAATCACTCTCAATGTTCATACTCTCGCTAGGTCTCAGCAGGCGGTTGCGTTTTATAGAATTGCTGAATCGAGTTTAAAATTAATAATAAATTCATTCACTTTCAACTCGCAGCCAACAAGGAGGCGTCTT